CGGATAGTCTTATAAATCCGATTAAAATCAATCGGAAATATTCGTTTGTTACTTTTTGAACGGATAAAGCCCGGAAATTTTTCTCAGTGTACAAATCAAATTTGGTTAATAAGAAACTCATATATATGTGGAAGATATCAATTAAACTATGTTGTAATTACTGAGAACTGAAGTAACAATCAATTCGATCTTAAAGAAAGATACACTCTGTTTTACCTTTGGTTGACAGCAGTTGGGAATAAAAAATCAACTACATTAACACACATTGTGATTTATACAAGCGTTTCTTAAATCACATTTTATTCTTTTAATTGTGAGAATTAAACATCCTATTTTTGTTAAGTATAATGAACCTTGGTGTTAATGCTGTGTAGAATACATGAACGTAAAATAAGACATCGATGCTTTTAACAACTGTAACGAAATACGTCTTCCGTTGCATTATCATTGGGAGAGTGATAAGTCATGTTTAAAATATTATATGATATAGAATAATTATTACCATGGCAAAACACTCTAAAGATACCACAATTATATTGCCAAAATTCAAAGCAACTGCTTTGCCACTTCTTTGTAATATAAAAAGTATCAACTTCTGAGTGTACACGGGGGCTACATACCATCGAACATTGTATCTATAAAACAAAGACAACAATAATGAAAAGATTCTCTTCTGTCGACAAAATGTACTAATTATTTAATAAACTCTAAACATTTGCTGACATTTTAATTATTATCTTTTATTATCAATCCAAATTACACTGAAAAAGAGAAATAAAGAAGGAAGAGAGAGAGAGAGAGAGAGAGAGAGAGAGAGAGAGAGAGAGAGAGAGAGAGGCACTAGTCATATTTTATGTCGTATTTTTTTTAATTATTACTCTTATTAGTGGGGAAATGTGTTTAAGCACTCGTTCTATAAAAAATTGAGAACTATGTTGGGAATTAAATTTTGACAAATAGTGTAAATAAAGGATGTTGGAAATTAAAATTTTGACAAATAGTCCAAATAAAGATCCTCTATTTCTCTCTTCTTCAAATAATTGGGGCGCATAACTATTATATTTAAATTCAATATTTATATAATTACAAATTAATAATCTTTATTTTAATTAAAGAATACGTATGACATAATTGGAATTAAATAAAAATAGGGATGCGATAATTATATATATGGAATAATTTCTTACGCTGTAATATATATATAATTATTGTGATCCATAATTTCTTGCCCGGTATAGTTAGCTATAAACATGTACACAAAAATGGCCGACACAATCAAAATATGAAATAAGAATTCCTCTTTGTTTCCAATGGACACACTGTGAAAAATCTAATATATTATGGCTATGGTAAAAATTTTAGGTATATTTAGTAATAACTTATTTTGTATACAAAAATATGTTAGTATAGTAATTAACTTTTTCTTACAGTCAGAGACATATGCATGATCTGACCTATATTGTGACTTAAAATGGATCTAGCTATTAATCATTTAAGGCCGAAGATAGACCGTTGCTTAATGCATAATCCATAAAGCGTAAGAAAATCAATCAATCAGAGTTTTTTATTTCACGGAAAAGAAGAAAATAAAGAATTTTTATTGGTTCATTTTCTTATGCGTTATGTATAATTATGCAAAACTTTGTGCTTCCACCTTTACACCGTAAGCGATTTAAAATATATTCGCGGTTTCAGCGCCCTCTATGCCGGTTACGCCTTTATTTTTTAAACCGCGAAATTGATTACTAAGTTTATATTGACAGTTTGATGTTTATAGCCATAGGCCGGACAGCGTTTACACTGAATTTACAAGCGATTTCACATTTTAGGTCAGATCATGTAAGAATCAGGTCTGACTTAGAACTAGGGCAGGTCATCTATCAAGTGCTTACAGAAGGGATCCGAACAATTTAGGTCGATTTTTGATAGGCCGTGGCTTAAATTCAGGGTGTAAACTTAGCCATGTGATATATACAATAAAATAATCTGCATTTACTCTTTTTTTTAACAATTTTGAATAGTTAAAAACGAATTAGAATTTGTCTTTAATTGATTTCGTAATTATTTAATTATGTTTTTTATTTCATATTTTTTTATGTATTTTTTTAAGTTCGAATATTATGATATAATTTACATCGTTCATTCACGTTAAATAATAATATCTTTAAAAACGGAAGAAAACTCACTGCAAAAAGATTGAAACTCAAACAAATTACACTAATCACTGTTAATGCTAAAAAGGATCCTTCAAAGCTGGATAATAGAAATTCGGAATACCTTAAAACAGTAAAATATTATTTCAAATACTATATGAATGCTGTTATATACAGATACCAACTTTATAGCTTTACAATGAATATCGACAGCGCAAATTATTTCTTTGTATATCATAATCTCGTTCTCGATGCTGATGTTGTCGAATATTTTGATCGAGTATTTGAACGCTTGCTCGATACGATAACTACAAATTAATTTTAAGCTATAAATACAGTTCTTTATAAGTCATATAATTTCTATTGAGACAACATTAAGATCTTGTTTGGAGTTATATAACATTCAAACTCTGACAAGTGATTTACTTATAGATTTATTTTTTACCTGGCAATTTTAAACATTCCACAAGCATGTATAAGATATCCTCTGAGCATTGTCCCTATCGCAGTTAACGTAGTCGCTCCTATACATATGACTACATTTGTATATAATAAAATTATGTAATAATATTTTTTTTCATCGATAAAGGATTCAGATATCATGATATGTAGCATTTGACGTGTGTGAGATCCGTTTGTTTGTAAAACAATATCAAATATTATCCACAAAATTTGCGTTAAAATACCGATAAGTATACAGGACATGGCAAACACTAAAAACATTTCAAAAAAGTAATTATGTAAATATTTCACTATTTTTAAAATATCCACTTAAAGTGGCGAAATATTATGACACCTTTTAAACTTTTGTGCTATATAATTATTTCTCATGATATTCTATGCAAGTGTTAATTACAAAAAATTCTTTACGTTTTCAACGTAATAACTAAAAAGTGATTTGTATATACTCGTATGTATACATATATATCTATATTTATTAAGTATTGTAAAATTCTTTTTTTTTTATTATTCTTAATATATATCTTTACATTCTAAAAGAATATGATGATTATTTTCAATATAAATACAAAAAATAATATTTAATTTATTTTATATTTAGTTATATTTAGTTAATTTTTTAGAACTTGTTATGATTAATTTTCATTTAGCAGTGTAATATCTACATATATTTACATTAATATATATTCAATATTATTATGTTGTCTTACATATGAATACAGTTGTATAACGTTTTACATTGTTTCCGTACTCTTTCATGATATTGACTTCATTTTCGTCTTTTAACTCGTTACATATTTGCTGCAGTCGTTCCATTAAACATTTTACCTATTATAATATTTAACGCGTTTGTTATTAGAAAACTTGAATACATTGTCATATGTGGGAATTTATTTATGAAGTGTATTTTTTAAATATGTAACATTGATACAGCTTACATTATCGATATTTATCCAAAATGCGTTATAATTTATGATGTACGTAATACAAAATATTACAGTAGAAAGAACTTTTATTATAAGTTCAGGAGTGCATTCTGCAGTCAAAAATGTTGCAAGCTGTAATAGATAAATTTGAAGAGATCTCGAAATTATTTCCTTAATTAATTAGCAAATTGTAAGTTTAAAATAGCCAGCTCCTTTGTAGTGACAAATAATATAATGAAAGTTTTATAATTGAAATTATAAGATAGTATAAGTACATATCACAATGTTAATATTAAAAGTTCTAAGAAACTGAGTAGTTTTTTTTTATCATAATTATTTATTTATGTGAAGACTTATAATATGTTGTATAATTAAATATATGGAATAATACATATATATATATATATATATATATAATGAAAAATTTAGAATATTATATAGAATAGAATACATTTACCTGGAAAATAATATAACTTATTAGAATTCCAAAGTACAAGATTGTCTGAATTCGAACGAGATTTGATTGATAATAAGGCCATAAACCAAGAGCGAGTAAGAGAATCCGATTCAGGTGAAAATATTTAGACTCGATAGAGATCATCACTCTATGACGATAGAAACTTGACTGCGCGCGAAAGTCAGCGATAGTTTGCGCATCCCCTCCTTCGACCTTATAACTTCCATTTTCTCGTAAATTGCATTGTAAGTTATCTAATTTAATTTAACGTCGCGAAAAATAGTTCTGTCAGGAAAATGTTGGACATTCAATAACTTTTTTCTAAGAAGAGTTTTCAGCAATTAAGCGATCAATAATATAGGAAATTGCACGGATGTTTATTTCTCATAGAAATGCACTTGTGCATTTATTTTCTAACAGAGAGTCGCACAAGCTTTTTACGTGAAGTAAAATCTATACTTCACATCACCTTCTGCATCAAGTGGAAAATAATTAATTTTACGTCAATAATTTTAATCCTTTTATAGGTTATTTGCATAAAATTTTATTCAAAGTAGTCCCCTTGGACAGCTACATACATTTGTAAGTATATATTCCTGAAAATCATTTTTTGATAGGTCTTTCAGTACTTTCATCGCATTCAGTGACTTCACACTCGCGCGCAAGTGAATCCTTCAAAACTTCTTTTAGCGGAAACAGGAAAAACTAAAGCGACACTAATGGCGAATTCGATTGGATGCACTAGTGCGCACTAGTGTGCACTGAGTGCGCCTTCTCTCAGTTTTAGCGTGTTCGATTGAGGTTATCCTCTATTGGTGCATCTGCCACTTGTGTTCGATTCATAACTGCACTAGATTAGTGTCAATACAAATGGGTTCGATTGGGTAACTCTGCCACAGTGTAGTGAACTCTTTATGTTCGATTGAGCTAGTTTCTCTGTCAGAGGACGCACTCGAATGCACTGAGGGCTTTTGACGGTACATTTCAGTGCAAAGAGGTTACGATGGCAGAAAAATATTTGTCGTATTAAACGAATTACTGGACACATCCAGTAGCAGTAGTGACGGCGAAATATTATTAAAACTAGAAAAGACGAAAATTAATAAAGTAAAAAATATGGTGGAAATTATAAATAGTTGTAGTGATAAAGAAGTGAGTCACACGTTATAAAAGTTATTATAAAAATTGATTAAAATTATTATTATTAT